AAAATCAAATCAAATCAAATCAAATTTGAATATTTTGCCGAAAAGCCTTCTTATCTTTCTTGGTATCCATAACGCCATTGCAATCACCCAGTAATATGCAGTATCTATAGTCCCAAGGTACTTACTTAGCATGAAGCATTTTATAAAATTTGTCTGTTGTTGAGTGGGAGCATATATTCCCAATAGCAGTATCCTTTTCCCTTCTAATACCAGATCTATTGCAATATATCTTCCTTGGGGGTCTGCTTCAATTAATTCAGCTTTCAAGTCTCAGAGTTTTTTAACAACCAGTTTTCAAAGACGCTCACCCATCAGCTGGTCAACCCATGTGCCCCATGCACCTTTGCTGCACATTGGCTGAGCCCAGCCCCCACTTAAGGAGGGTCTTCCCACTCATGCTCAATCTTCTGGCCCACCATAGCCAGCCATGAGAGTGAAGAAGGGCCATCTTTGGGGAAGCCTCTGCCAGAGCTTGCGCTCATTCCTTATTCCTCAGCCAGCCCAGATTTCCAAAAGTTGCCAAGAAGAAAGAAAAGGAGCAGCAAAGAGCCCCAAGGACAGCTGGGGTTGGCCCTATCTTGGCTTTCTGAGAGAGTGGGGGGGAGAGGGAGAGAAAGTGAGAGAACACACACAGAGAGAGGGAGAGAGATACAGAAAGAGGGGGAGAGGCAGGATAGAGAGGGAGAGGGGGAAAGAGAGACATAGAGAGACACAGAGAGAGATTCAGAGGGGAAGAGAGGGGAGATAGAGAAGGGGAGAGAGAGGGACAGAGTTATAGAAAGATACAGAGAGCGGGTCAGAGAGAGGGAGAAAGAGACATAGAGAAACAGAAGGGGGAGAGTCAGAGAGATACAGAAAAAGATACAGACAGAAGAGAGGGAGAGAGAGATACAGACAAACAGAGGGAGGGAAGGGTAGTGGGGAGAGATAGAGAGGGGGAGAGAGAGACATAGAGAGAGACACAGAGAGTGGGGAGAGAGAGAGACAGAAGCAGAGTAGGGTAGATAGAGAGGGAGAGGGTGGAGGGAGAGAGACAGTGAAACAGAGAGGCACAGAGAGAGGGGGACAAAGAGACTGAGAGAAAGAGATAGTGGTGGGTTCCTACCAGTTTGGACCAGTTTGATTTAACCAGTAGTAATTTGCCAGCCTGGGTCTCCGGAACCGGCAGTGACCCTGGCCTTCCATTCCCCCCAAACTGGTTCTCCCAGCAGTGCCTACGACAGTGCCATATTATTTTTTGCTTCTGCGCATGTGAAGAGCGAGAGAGAGATGGGAGAAAGAGAGAGACATAGAGAGGGGTGAGGAAGAGGGGGAGAGGGAAGGAGAGAGAGAGAGATGTCAAAAAGGTTTGGCGGTTCCCAGTGTTTTTTAACAACCAGTTTTCTGCCATAATAACCTGTTGGGTAGGCATGGCTAGGGAGTCATGTGACTCGATGAGGGTGAGTGATGTCGGTGTTTTCTGTGGGAAATGGGTCCAAATTGCTCTTGGAGTTTTTAAGTTTGCAGATCCCTGGCCTAGTAAAATGACTTCAACTTGTACTTAAAAAGCACTGACCTAGTCAGAAAAAAAGCACAAATGTAGAAAAAGGTTTTGTAGTTGGATAAAGCAGAAGTGAACTCTCAAGAAAGATTATGAAAAGATGGAAGAAGCCCTGCAGAACTAATGATTTACTAATACTATATTTTCTACTAATAGATAAGGCAAATAGTACTCTGGGTAGGACCAAGGGGAGGGTATTATTGCTGTGGGACATTGTCATTAGACTACCCTTGTAACATTACTCTATAAATTGCACTTACCAAAAAGGTAGAATAAACTTGGCTCAAATCAAATCACTCACTGAAAAGAACAAGGTACTTGTTTTATTTCCCTTTGCAAGCACCCGTAGGCAGATGAAAACTGATATGCTCCAGATTCAGTTCCAGCAAAGATGTTTGCACACCTGAACACAAACACAGAAGGCTGCTCATGCAGCAGCATTCAAAAAGACTAATCCATTTCAGGGCATTGGGTGGATGTGAACAGCTAAAATGCAGAAACAATGTGTATTAAACAATGAGTATTTACTCCAAGATTTGCCTATTTGGGAGGGCTTGTGGAAGCCAATAAAATGCAAATAAGGGTTTCCCTTTCTGCATGCAGGCACAAAATAAAATGAACAGACAAAATACATTACCTGCATTACTAGTTAAGCATTGCAATCTGGAAAAAATGAGACAGTGAGAAAAAAGAGTGCAAGAATTTACTCAGTTCAGCAGACAGATACAGAAGGTAAGAAGTATCTTTCCTTCCTTCCTTCTTTCTTTCTATCTTTTTTCCCCTAGCATTTTCTCTCAGGTGCAGTGTCTGTTCTATTTTTTTTTTTTTTTTTGATCAACCAAGAATTGATCCATTTAGTTACAGCAGGAATTGATCGCACAACTGGCTTTCATGCCTAAGGCTGGTCTAGCATTCACTCTCCCGGTTTCTATAGAAAGGAGGTTACTCCTGATTTTATTATACTTTTAATATATGAGTTTATATCCAGAAAAGGTATACAAAAATACATAAATTACACTTCTCCCATTCCCCCACCCCCCAATAATATTCAGTATTTGCTTTTAGTATGAGGAGTCTTCACTTTACAGATTGTTAGTGTTCTTATTTCTTGGTTGTTGTTTTCCATGGCATTATCTTATTTCCCTAAAAGCACAACTTTCACCTTCAAGCATTCTCAGGCATAAGCACGGGAAATAAATGTCTCAACTTACTGCATGGTTTAGGCTTCTAATGCTAGCTTCTAAAAGGGTCAGCTTCCAGGGCTCCTCCACATTCTCTGGTAAAGGCTGGTAGATGTAGTAGGCTATCAAAGTTGAAGCTACCAGAAGGCAGAAGAATTTTCTTCCCATCTTTTACTTTGTCTACTTTATTCAACTCTAGCTTTTACTGACTAACCTCAAGAGGATTGAAATACTGACAAGTCAGCTGATCAAGCATTTCACTTTATCTCAATAGTAAAATTAGTGCCAGAGGCATTTTGTTAAATATTCACAAATTTCCAGTTGATAGAACCTATTTTGCTTTGTTAATTACAGGGTCAGACAGTTCCTCACAGGTAATCTTTTTCTTTATTCAAATCTTTAAGGATTGCAACACACTTTCTTCGCTTTGCCTTGGAAATTACCTTTGAATTGCAGAACTGAAATTATAAGTGGCATAGTTGCTGGAGAGAAAGTAGAATTGCTGGATTTACAGAAGATAAAACAATAGAAAAATCATATTATTCAGATTAATAAAATAAAAATGCCATTACACTTCTCTTGCCTTTAATTTGTATTTATTTGTATTTATTAGTTTTGTATGCCACCCACTTTGGGAAGACTCCGGGCGGCTTACAATAAA